TATTCATTCATCCATCCATTCATTCATTCATCCATCCATCCATTCATTCATTCATTCATTCATTCATCCATCCATCCATATATCTATTCTTTCTTCCATCCTTCCATTCATCCATTCATCTATCCATTCATTCATTCATCCATTCATCCATTCATCCATCCATTCTTTCATCTATCCATTCATCCATTTATTCATTCATCTATCCATTCATCCATTTATTCATTCATCCATTCGTTCATCCATTCATCCATCCATCCATTGAGGTATGCCCGATATGTCCCCAGGAGTCTGTGTCGTCTCACAACAGCGTGCCGGAGGAAGAGATGTCGTCTGAGCCGGTCCCCGAGGCACACCCGTTTGACTTTGTGGCCCCGAGCCTCGCCCCGCGCAGACAGAGCACTCCGGTACTCGCCGGGAACAGCTCCGACAACAGCAACAACAACAGCAGGGCGGTGAAGAAGAGCCCCGTGAGTCAGCGGAAGACGTCTGCCCTGAGTGTCGCAGAGACGTACTCCCTGTCTCCCTCCCCCCCGACCTCCGCCCCCACACCGACCTCTGCCCTCATAGGGTCTCGGCGGTCGGAGGACAGCACAGCGTCTGACAGCTCATCGCTGGTGGAGGTGGATGTGGAGAACAATGCTGAGGATTCCTCCCCCAAACTGTGCCACGCCGTGCCCCAGACACAGGACCCAGGCCACTGTCCTTACATTGGGGACCATATGTCACACGCTGCCTCGTCGCCGAGAGCTGGGGAGTCTGACAGGGCGGGCGTTTTGTCGCCATGTTATGTCACTTCCTCCAGGGACAGTGGGCGCGTCGTTGACTCGAGGAGCGCGTCGGATGTATCCACAGAGAGTGAAGAGACTCCACAACAATCACCACCACCACCACAACAATCACCACCACCACCACCACAACAATCACCACCACAATCACCAGCACCAGCACCTGAGGTGAGTGACCCCCCGTCTGGCACGACTACCCCGCCCCCCGGCTCAGAAGGCAAAGACGACAACTTTTCCGGGCCCCGCCTCGTGCACACCATCGTGGATGAACCAGTCCAGGAAATTGTTTCTGACACGATGGTGTCGCAGGAAATGGCCACGGCCCCACGAAACGCCCCGAGCGTCACACGAGAGAGCCCGGGCATCATGGGAGACTCTGCCACTGCAGTGGTTGACCAGGACGGTGGTGTGGGCACAACTGCTGCTACAGATTCCTTGTCTGCACCGCAGGATTCATCGTCTTCATCATCATCATCATCATCTTCATTTTCATCGACATCATCATCTGCTCCAGGTCCCCCTGCGGAAATCTCGACAACAACACCATCAACAACAACAGCAACAACAACAACAGCATCAACAACAGCATCAACAACAACAGCATCAGCAACAGCGACAACAACAGCGACTGTGGAGATGGTGGAGGAAGGCCTCACAAGCCCCCCCACCCAAAAGAGGTGTGTTATACAAAAGGTATTGATACCGTGTCCACCCCCTCCCCCCCACCCCCCAGTGTTGCATGCCGCTTCTCTGCCTGCTGTTTTCCCCTTTTTTGTAGCTGCTGGTGACCTCTGGTCTATGACCTCTGGTCGATGACCTCTGGTCGATGACCTCGGGTCTATGACCTCTGGTCTACGCTGATGACCTCTGGTCGATGACCTCAGATCTATGACCTCGGGTCTATGACCTCTTGTCTATGACCCCGGGTCTATGACCTCTGGTCTATGACCTCGGGTCTATGACCTCTGGTCTATGACCTCTGGTCTATGACCTCGGGTCTATGACCTCTGGTCTTGTAGATGTTGTAGATGGCAGTACAACGTAGAACATCAATCAATCAATCAATCAAGCAAGCAATCAATCAATCAGTCAGTCAGTCAATCTATCAATCAGTCAGTCAGTCAGTCAATCAATCAGTCAATAATAGAAATTGGTACACTTTATTGATCCCCGCGGGGAAATCTCCGTTACAATGGTCATCATACCTACGTCATCATACATACGTGAATACATATTGTAATTATAAGAATAATAATATTGATAACAATGACAACTCCATATATTTCCTGCATAACCACGCCACACCCACAAATGACGCGTGTACTTTGCCACTATTAACCATCAGCACCTCAGCTGACCCTAGAACACTTGGGGACATTGGTGGCTTTGTGGGAAGCATTCAGTGCAAGCAGCGGAGGAAAGGATCAAACACTAACTAATTTATTTTTGTTGTTGACTATAGCGGGATGGGGGGAGGTAGGGTTAGTGGTGGCGGAAGCTTTTGTGGTAGAGGCTTCATCTTTGAACAGTTGAATCTTCTGGATTGGGTGGGGTGGG